GCATCCTCGGGACTGGGTACAATTTTTGTTTGTCTTTCGCTGTGTTTTTTGTAAGCTTGTTGCGAGTTGGTGTCCAACCCTCGCGGCTTGTCCTGGTCTCGGCGGGTCTATTTCATTTCCCAAAACAGCCACCCTGAGCGACGATACGTCAGCCCGTCTTCTGTAATCAATCAAACTGTTGCAATGCGACAGGAATTTCAATGGGCTGTCTATTTCTAGGCACAGAAAATTTTTTTATCGCATGCTCTCCAAGGACTCGTCCGCTTTGTGATCTACCTCGAAGGATCCGTCTGACAGTTATGGGAGTCGCTATTGCAGGGGGTATAAAGGGGGAAGAATCAGCCCTCAGGGTGCGAACGAGGTAAGACTAATCTCAATTATACAGCCGATCCCTGCGTTTCATTGGTCATAACCCTGGTTTTAAGGTACCGAATTTACCTAGTTAGGTACGTCAGGTATCAAATACCAGCCCAATTCAGCAGGTTCGGTTTAATGTTTGAAGTCCGTCGCCTTTGCCATTTAACTTAAAACCGATCAAAATGGCTGCTTGAGCAATCAAGATGCTTGTTTCATTGGCGCACCGGTTTACGATCTTCCATTCACCATGCCGCACCTGTTGTCAGGTAAGGGCCGGCCGTCCATCGCCGATCTAGAGCAAGCTGCGCTATCGGTGATTCACCTGATGCAAGGTGTGGCTGGGCTCGCCAACATCCGAATTGCCCTCATCGGCGACTTAGCTGTCAAGAAATACCTAGAACAGCCCGGCTCTTGCGAAGTAGGTCCAGGACAAGCGGTGCTTCGCGGAGCGTTGAATGCTAACTGGTCTCATTAGAGCATAGAGTTCATCACCACGTCGGCATCGCCAAGTCAAGTAAAGAAGACCCTTCTCAGTCATGGAAAGGGGATAATTGCCGAGAAGGCGCAAGCCATCTTCTACCGGCACCCAACCGGCTGGGTAGTCGAGATTAAGATCACGCCTGAGTGGCTTTGCCCTTACTTACCCAGCTCGGCTCAGCCGGTTGCAGACATCAAGAAGCTGCCCTATATCTCCCTAGCAGATCTCTTCGTCTTCAAAGCCGACGCCTGTGGCCTTCACGAATCCACTGCAGGCAGACAGAGACAAGTGCGCGATGCCGGCGCACTTTTGGAACTTGCCTCGGAGCACTTTCCTCTAAAACTAGAGGAGGATAAGTTGCAGAAGGTAGAAGAGGCTCTCGACACGCTCGTGGATTATTCGCCGCCAGAATACGACCGGAGATGGTGGGAAAGGCGGCTAGGGAAACAGCAGAACGACAAGCGACGATCAGTCCAAGACATTCTCTCGGAGCTCGGTGAAGGACTGCGCCTCGACGAAGAAGAGAACCGACGAACGGCGAGACGGCCGAGTGTCTTCTCCCTCAGCAACAGAGGCTCCGAGTCCTCCATCAGTTCTACCCCTTCCATATCATCGCAGGGCTCAACACCCTTATCGTCGCCGCCGCCACCTAAGATGCGACCAAGGAAGATGAGTGTCAGCGGATCGTATCCGCGACCGCGCAGACACACGCAAATGGATTCCCAGCCTGAATATCAACCCGCACCCCCAGCGCACCAGAGTTTTCGAGACATCAATCGGCTGTATGCCGAATCAATGGATATCAGTGGGCGAAGTTCGCCGGGCATTTCTTTAATGACGTTTCCGGGGAAAGGGAGGTAAAAGATGGATATGTGGCTGGCTTGTTATGTTTATGGTAATGGTAAAAGTTCTGTTTGTGTTGCATATACTGCATTTCGAATACCCCCATAGATTATTGGTTAGGATATAGAGTAATGAAGAATTAATCCCCCGTAGCGTGGCGTACAGAACTTTTTGAGTTAGTTAGGCCCTGCGAGTTAACTGGTGATTGTCGAATATCTATCGAAGGATATGTATAGCGTCTCTCTGTACAAGTGTCTTGTCTTCAAGATTTAATCCAACGGAGTAGTTTGTGAAATACCACCAACAAGGCAAATATATATACCAGCCCACACACGTGATATTAATATGGAAAACACCACCCCTGCTAGTAACCCATTCCTAGCTCCACTCCATCACGCCCTAGACTCTCAACCTCATCTCACAGTTTCCAACCATCTGTCCCCTTGCCAAGTACGGGTACAGGTTCTACTATTAGACCTAGGTTCCATAATGCATACCGAAGTATATCCAATTACCAGTGCGTGTCATCGGCTCATACAGGCTCCGCCTTAGCAACAAGGGCCAAGAATACCATGGATTTCCCAGAGTGGCCGAGCTTTTTCTCTCCGACTCGAGAATCAATCACGATATCGGAGGCATACCGTCTCATGCAAAGCCCTCCATCGCAAGTGACCGTTCCGAAGCGCATGCTAAGCAAAGTTCGTAAGCTTCTGAGTCTTCCGAAGTGTTCTTCATGCAACGATTTGGTCCCCCAAACCTGGAGAGCTCATGAACAACGTTATTACCTCGATATTGAAATTCCGCTCTTGCAACTCCGAAAGACGGCCAAGGCGGGATGTCCTACTTGCCAGATAATAAACAAGGGCTACAAGCACTTCACTAAAGGTCTCGCTAATTCTGGTATACGTAAGGATCTGCACATTACGAATAGTTTCGATTATGGTCCAACTAGGCAGGATGGTATCATGGTGTATTGTGGTGATGCAACCTCCCTAGCATTACATTTTCATACTGAACGCGGTGAGGAGTCTCCTATTTTACATTCGTTAATCGAGAACTTATGATGATTGGCAGACGGGGACTCTCCCTGGCCTCTACTCGGCGCCTCGACATGGTGCGTCTCACAACCCTCTTTAGAGTACTCCAAAGGGTTTATTGAAATGTGTTTTGCCATGTGTGAGCATTACCATGAGAAATGCCGACGCAGCTCTCGTATTTCAAATAACAATTCTTCCGTTGATGTTCCTGATCGTCTGTTGTACATTGGCGGCCTTGCCGAAGACATCGCACCCGCCCTAATCGAATCTGCAAAGTTTATCCGGAAAGCAGATGGAGACAAACGATACATAGCTCTTAGCCACTGCTGGGGTCACACGCTAAGCATCAAGACTACCAAATCAAACTATGAGACCTTCAAGAGGTCGATTGAATGGCCTGCCCTTCCCAAGACTTTTCAAGAAGCCATAAATGTGACGAAAGCTCTTGGTGTCAGGTTCATCTGGATAGACAGTCTCTGCATTATTCAAGATGATTTGCAAGACTGGGAAATCCAGGCAGCCAAAATGTCATCTGTCTATCAGAATGCCTATCTCACACTGGCTGCTACCGGAGCTACTGGGAGTTCAGAAGGGCTTTTCCTACCACGCTCTGATACGTACAAGATATCAGGCATCCATAATAAGCTGCCATATACCATCCACGTGAGGCAAATTCTCGATCATGGCCCGTTCCAGGCATTTCCGAATCCATCGTTAGCAGGTCAGCGAGTGAGGGAACTCCCGGGTATGAAAAGAGCATGGATGCTTCAGGAGCAGGTCTTGTCGCCGCGATTGGTACATTTTACCGAGGACGAGCTAATTTGGGAATGCCAAAGTGATGTGCTCTGTGAATGTGGATTTGTGCATTTGAACTGGAAGAAGGAAATCTTTGGATTCAAATCCAACATCATTTCCTGGGCAGGCGATTCCTCAAAGGGGATAGCCAATTGGTATGCGACAATGCAGAGTTACATTCCTCGAGGATTGACTTATGATCGGGATCGACTACCAGCCATCTCAGCCCTGGCCAAGCTTTTCAGTGAGCTGGGTGGCCTTGGTAGGTATTGCGCTGGTATCTGGGCATCTGAAATCATTAGTGGATTGATGTGGCAAGCGAGTCAACCGGGAAGAAGAACACATACTGACGGAGTTTTTGATTCCAAACCACCCACGTGGTCCTGGGCCTCTGTAGAGTCTTGCCGTATCCAATGGCAACTCCTAGACGACAGATACAAACAGAAGCCCAAAGCAGAAGTCCTCGACATAGCGTGTTATCCTAGCACACGCGATCCAAGGGGTATGGTCTCTGGCGGTTATGTCACGCTCAGGAGCAAGCTTCTAGCGCTAAGCATCAAGTGGCATTCTCATACCGAAGCCCAAGACCCGCCTCCGGGGAGTGAGGGATACTTTGTGTCTGTTCGTAACGATACGCCCTGGCCAAAAACCATTGATTGGGCAGCTTTCAAACCCGGAGATAAGATTGAAATACCTTCTGAAGGTCCGGAACTAGAACGGTTTGCTATTCAGATCTATCCTGATGTTCCTCTATACTCGCCTTCTGAAGGACTGGAGTCTGGTGGCAGGATCTACTTCTTGAAGATGGCACTTGTGAGCTTTGGTTCGAGAGAAGAGCAGGCTTATGGGCTGTTCCTTCGCGAGGTTGACCCTTTATCTGAAGTACCTGTCGCAGCTCCGGATGCTTTGCGCAACAGACGTCTCTTTCGACGGACCGGATTCGGGGTTATACAAAGCGACGATGTGGGAAAAGATCTGGAAAGTTGTCCACTCGAGATAATCACTATTATTTAAAATTAATACGCCAGATCACGAGCCGCAAGTGACAGTTGCGATTTGATTATGCTATCATATGATATCTGTATTAACCGCGAGTACACACTGTCGAGCCAAATAGTGGCAATGCTGCGCTTGTCGGCACATTATATCGACTACTTTGATATTAGTCCTGACGAACGGCATCCTCGGCGCCCTCGACACAGATTCCTCCTATAATGGATCACAGAATTACTCAAGATTCAACAAATATCTTTCGACGTACTTCTGGTCTCAATTGACAACTTGCATATTGACTCACGCTAAGTCAACACTTGTGATATGGTATGTGCCAGACAGATACCTCCTTTTCCCGCCAGGGCAGCTATGTAGCCTGCGCCAGAAAGCCTGGTTATTACTTATGAGATCAAAACAAGATATATGCTTATCAAGACCATATGACTAACCCAAGGTAGGACAGAGAGTGTATCTCTGGTCTCACACAACACCCCGAAGCCCATTTAGAGCAGTGGTTAGCTCGCTCATCTCCGGCGTACTCTGGACAATGAGAAGGCGGGGGTTCGAATCCCCAATGGGTGGCTTGTACCCCTTTTGCATTCCTTCATATTTCTCTTGTTATCTCTTATATGAGTGCTAATTTCACTCTTGAAGTTTAGAAAGAGGTAATTCGCTATTTTATTTTAGTGGTAGGCTCGTAGCTGTACGCCAAGCTTCTGTGTAGGACCAAGAATTATCGTGTTATTTCAACACCTAGCGAAGAAGAAATTACTATGCGTGACGAACACCAACAACAGCATCATGTAGAGAGCGGAGATGCCTGCCTTGATATGCATTGGTCATTATTATCCGTTTCCAAACTTTTCTGGTAGTTGCAGTCGAATCAACTCCAAGGTGCATTCAGATGTAACAGGTTCATGTTCGTGGATGTGTAAGCTGAGATAATCCAGGAACACGTGTGTATTCAAGATTGTCTTCGACGGTGCGGCTTAAAACCCATGCTATGCCAAATGCGCGCTGTCAGAGTCGCCACTAACCATAACGGGTTTTCAGCCATTGCCCGATTCGTACAATAGGTGCGGGATCGGGTGTGGTAGCACGACGGGACGACCCGTCGACCCCATGTGCAGACCAGGGGTATCGATCGACAACATCAACACCAAAACTCTGGAACGATCGCGATCACTACCATACCTCGTAATCCCTGCTTGGCAAGATCAATACAACCACACATGTATGTGAAGCGTGGTTGAGATAAGGTCCTATAATGACGAATCGTATCTTCCGGATCCATTATAATAGTCAACGTCTTGTCGTCACGGGTAAAAGCAATCGGTTCTGGTTGCATCACCATCTTGGCAGGGAATAGCTTCAAAATCGCGCCATTCGTCGAGAAATGGCGTGAGATCGGGTATTTTATATTGAGTCTCGTACGCTGTTTACCTCCGACCGACGCCGATTGGTGATAATAGAACACCAATGTTATGGATCCCGTTGTTGTCCACCTAACCTTAGTCAACACTTGAAGTAAAGAAACAGAAACGAATTCAGAACCCTATTATGGAGATTAGGATGGAGCCTAGTTGTTACACAGTACTGTCTTATCATGTCATGGGTTCTTAGGCGCTAGTGGCTGAGACAATGGGGTTTTACATGCAAATAGAAATTATTTTTATTGCCAGTCTGTGTCAGGTGTACCATAGAATTATACGTTTGGAAAATAGAAGCCGATGACTCTAAGGTATTGACAGCTGCAATAGATTATGACATATGGGTAGCGCTTTGGTATTGTTGGTTGCCAAACCCGCAAAACGTGAAGGTTCGGGACTCGCAATATATGACGCGTAGATTTTACACCCTCATTGTAACTTCACAATCTGGTAAACGTTGGTTGTCCTGAGATCGATGGTCCCTCATAACGTGTAAATAATCTCCTCACGTATCAATGGCCTGATATCTGCACGAGACAGAGTGGCAGCCGACCTCGTAATAAAATGCAGCCCCACGTATAGTGCCTTCTCGTGCAGAGAGTGAAACCAGAATACGTGGGGGCCTTGTTCTCTAGCGCAGCTATTTAGTCGGAAGGAATTGATGATGGGACAGGCGGTTGCATATGCATGCAGAATGGCGAGCACAACATGGTTGCGGATGAGGGTGTTGAGACATGGCTGCAGCCACAGACTAGTGGTGCATTGCATAGCTCCATCGTCTTAGTTCGTTACCGGGTTCACTGAGAACAGCACGTGGAAATCAAAATTATAGATTTTATGTTTCAGAAATTAGCTCTTATGTCCGATGTGTGATTTAGCTACAGCTGAAACAAAGGGCTGACACGTGAATATTTGTTGACTAATATGATGACACTTACAATGTTTTAATGTAACGCGAATCGCAACGATGAAGAAGAATAGGGCGAAAGTTAAACAGCGATAATACTTCATCATCCGGCATCGAAGGAGAACAGATTAAGGTTAGATGGGTACAACCGAACTTGCTAAGAATGTTAACTTATATTCACTGAAGCATTGAATAATGTGTTAGACAGAAGATTATTCTCTATTAAGAACTAGCAACAGTCCAATTTTCTCCAAGCTAATTATATAACTGAATGCGCCATGGAGCATTGACAAAGGAACGAATGAACCTCAGCCCAAATCCCAAGACAGCATCGCCGTTGAAGCCCACTCCTACAGTAGTTTCCCACACTCCAGATTAAAGTAATGACCATGCCTCCATTATATGCGTTAAAACTCGAATGTACATGCGACTACACTCGTGCTCCTGCAACTGTCCTATGAAAACCGGGCATTTACTGCTCACCGAGACCAGCGGGGGTCTCGCAGAGAACGGCTTGGCCGAGCTATTGACAACGACGTCAGTATGTTAAAAATACATAAAGAGTTTGAAATAAACTTACGACGGGGACAACGCAGCAACGGGCACGTTGGCCACCCTTGGCACAGATATCGCGGAAGTTGCTGGCGCTGAAGGGGGCAGCAGAGGCTGTGTCAACAGCGTTAGCTAATTGCTCGCATTGTTCTCGAATGAACAGGGAGACTTACGGGAGTGGCAGTTCAGGTCAGCGACGCCGAGAACATCAGTGGCACAGCACTGGGGGACGCTGTAGAGGCCGTTGGGGCAAGCATTGTACTTCCCAGTGTTCTCGGTGGGAACGGCAGAGATAGCAGCGGCGAGGAGGCCGAAGATAGCAACGAATGAGGTCTGCATATTGATTGAAGAGGTTGGGTTTGTTTGGGAAACAAAAAGGATTGAAGATTGTGGGATGAGTGAAGGTATTTGGGCTTCTGGTATTGCTATTGGGGCTGGTGAGTAGGAGGAAGTTGTGTAAGTTGAGGGCGATGTTGACCTCCTTATATAGAAGTTCGACGGCCCATACCTTGCTAGATATCTGACCGCAATCTTGTTTTTTCTGGAGAACGATCGACGACAAACTGTACTAGCTCTGTCTTCACGACGACTCTCGATCTGGTGCATCTGCCATGGCCCATGGCCCTGTCCGGGGTTGTTGAATTTGTGGCGTTATGCGGGCGGCATCCTCTAATACACAAGGTAAGTAGTTAGTTGTCATCCTATCAACAACCACGTCAATATGAGGATCCCAACAATCCCTGGAAACTACCTTGGATAACCGCTTTACTAGAGATGTTCTACGAGGTAAATTAGGTTGAAGAGATTTCTGGTTCGACCAGACATAACCCCAGCGGCACGCTCGGGCGTAATTCGTCAGCCCTAGCTATCGAACCATGCCTGAGAGTACTACCAAATCCTAGGCTTTCACGATGTGCGTTGAGCGGAATTCACAGGTTCGCCCCATAAGCGTAGACAATGCCTCCTGTCGTTGATACCGTCACTACACAATAGTCTAGCCAAAAATACATACATACAACCCCTGTAAGAAGCCGAAGATCGATCTCAGCTGCATCCATAACATTGGCAATTTTCCTCCCCACCATCTCCACCACCCAAGCCCCCCGGTAGGCTCCGAGCCGGAGACTCAGCGGAGACATTAATCATCTGTTCTTTGATATAGGCAAGTTGGTTCCGTACTTTTCAGACGTACAGTATGTTACTTCTGTACCTTAGCATCCTGGCACCCGGTAGGGGATTTCTTGTCTGGGTCCATGGAAACGATTGTGATTGGCAAATCATGTTTGAACAAACGGGGCTACTCGTTTCTGTAAGTATACTTTACGGTGTTTTTGATGTACTTAGTATTCTGTCCTCTGCAGCCGAAGCGAGATATGCTTAGATTGTTACGGATCCATGTCCTACCAAACTCGTCACTGACAGCTCAACTAATAAATACTTGTGATTGCAATACGACTATGTAGTGTACATATCAGACCATGTCTTGTTATCTCAGTCGTGCTTTTCTTTTCCTACTTGTCACCACATCTATTGCAGTAGCGTCTGAACCCTATTCGAGTTTCAAATAGCAGTTGGCGCCTCTGTCGTGCATTTCGTAACTAATTGCAACATAGGAATAGGGTTGGACACCACGTTTCTGCAAAAATAATTCCGCACTCAGACTGTTTTGGAACTCGATGTGGCGGATTTCTTGGCAGGTTTCCGGCATTAGTGCCTTTCAGCTCTTATTTGTGATTGAAGCGGGTGCCCGCTCCTGGACTTCCTGCTTACTTATTTTGGAGTTTCGGGCGCCTGCAGACGTTGAGTTGTCTCGCAGCGGCCTAGGGCTAGAGGTCGGGATTTGGTGGTACACATGCATCCCACCCCTGCATAGTACACATATGCTATGTGCACAGACAAGTATTTGTCTCAGGGATGACGCATCCGGGCTCCGATAATCTTCCCTGTCTTGAACACCCGGGAATTTTATATGCTGACTGGGGCTCAGGAACAACGCATAGTCTTTCTAGTGCCGGGATCCGATTGAATCTGTCGATGTGTTCCAAGGCAGCGGTCAAGATATTGCCCAAACGCCTATATCACGACAGCCCCATCGCTTGTAAGTATGTTGTTGATCGACTTGAACGATCTCTTGGATAACAAACATTGGTCCACATTTTAAGGTCGCCGACAAACTCTATTGTGAGTCTTCGATGAGCAAAACGACTTTCCAGATCCGGTAGTTAGAAATCACCCTACTAGCAGGTAGTTCGGTGGCTTGCATCTTGTAATACACACCGGTACTTGGTCACGCCCGACGTTGGTGGCGCGAAGTGGCTTCGCTGGGTAAGTATACATGTGCCGATCTTCTCCAGGTTTGCTATATTAGCGCCTCAACTAGGCGACTTGGTATTGCTGAATAGGACCGGTTGGTATCTGATGTTATGACGAGCAAGTGCTTAAGCGACGCCATGCTTGGGCGGACGCGGCTGTTAACCTGTATGTCGAGCTGAGGCGACGGAGTTATACACTACTGTGCGCTACCGTCGTACTAGCCCTTACAGCCATCGAATCGACAGGTACACCCCTTTCCGTCTAGCCGGTTTGACTTTTGACCCGATCCAATTATATGTCTTTTTGAGGCTGGGATCCTAATCCCTGGCCAAAGCTCAGCCCCAGATCCATATTTCGGAGCTTATACCGGGCTTTAGTT